ATTCATATGGTTTAGTCTAACCTTGAGAAAACAAAGTACCTGGTAACCAAAACATTTCTAGCGGGTTTTCATTTGGTTTAATTGCTTTAATACCACAAAAAGTTTGCTTCAGACAATCAGGGGATTGAAGATGAACCTCTGGTAGACGGTCTGTCTTGAATAACGACGAATTAAAGGAAGCTATCCGACTTCATTCAGGAGCTTTCCAGATTGTTCAACGTAAGCGATAAACAAAATTCTCTAGCTTATTGACTTGGGGTCTTGGATGCTGGGCAATGGGTTTTTAATAAGTGGACGGTAACAAGTTTCAGAGTCTAATTATTGTTTTGACAGCACACAGTAGAGATGTTTGTTCAACGTTTGTCAGATGAGACGAATCCTCCTGTCAGAGGATCCGAAGCACAAGGAGGTCGTACCAATGGCTGTCACATAATGACCCTGTACCATTGACGCATGAATATTCCCAACAAAGGGTTTAGTGGAATACTTTATTCAACTTTTATACCACTTTTAGGCAGTTGCTCTCTTATTGTTGCATCACCGAACCCAGTGTAAATATTCCTCGGCCGCCCTAGTTTAAACTTGCGCGATTTTGAAGCTTTGAAAAATAAAATATTTTATAATTTACAGTGAAATATTTAAGCCACTGTCTTTATCAACTGACGCATTATTCTTTTGGTATTACGTAATATAAATACCTAATACTTCTATGTAACTAGAAATGTTGATTAAAGTAAATTAATCCTACAACAAATGAAAAATCCTAAGAAATTTTCTATAATATGTACAAAATTACGTAGAAGATAAACTCTACGAGTTTCGGAAGTTCTTGTCGAAAATTTAAGAAAGAATTTTATGATTCTTTAAATGCTTAGAAATATTGCTTAAGATTTGTCTCTGATTACTTAATTTTTAATAGGTCAGTTAATAACAATGCAAAATTAACGTTTAATTTAAAAAAATAAATATTTTGGGGTTGAAAACCGTTAAAAACATTAGTGATTAAGATTTTAAAACTTTTATTATAATTGAGAGTAACACACAAGAAAGAAAAAAGGATCTTCGGTACAAAAAGCAAAGGGTAAGAAAAAGACAAAAAGCTTGTATAATTAAATTACATGTCCAAAATATCCCTATTTTTTGACATGATACATCAAGAAGTTCATTCAAAAACTGTTAGACATAAAACATCTACTACTACAAATTAATTAAATATATTGACTGTCCCAATTTTTTGATATTAAAATTTGTGCAAAATATCCACCAGAACACTCTTTTTGAGAGGATTCAAAATGTATGCAATAATAATTTCATTTTATACTTAAGAATACTTTAATTTAACTGTTGGCGTATAATGTTATTATGCAAAGTCATTAGATAATTAATTTTATTAAATTAATTAAGTTTCTAGTTCATACGAGGATATAAGTTCAAATAATTAACATTCTAAAGAATTGATCGAAGAGGGACCCGGGAAAGTGCACCAGTGGCTACGAAAAAGAAAAAATGTTAACGCAACCTCTTTATTTTGCTAGTGATAATAACATTTTTCAATTTTTTAGTACAAATATATACACTTTTGTTTTACTTTCACAGAAAAATCATATTTGTGTGATACAAAGTTTGATGTGATTTATGTATTTTTTGAAATCAAGAACATTAATGATTCCTTTTTTTTTCTTCCTGCTGGCTTTTTCATCTGTAATTGAATTTACTTTTATTGGTGTTATTATAGCATGAAAAAAATTATGAATGCGTTTATTCAGATAGCTGCTTTTGATATGTTTACCAATGTACTTGACAGAATTGTACCACTTTATGCGTAATTAATATTGGCATGGGAACAATTTATTCGTGGCTAGGCATTTCTCGACTTTTTGTAATAGACAAGGATAAATTTGACACGAGTACTATTAGTTTCCAATGGAAGAAAGGAATACTTAGATCATTAGTGGCTACGAAGAAGAAAAAATATTAACATAAACTCTTCATTTTTCTAGTGGTAATAACATTTTTCAATTTTTTAGTACGAATATATACACTTTTGTTTTACTTTCACAGGAAAATAATTTTTGTGTGTTACAAAGTTTGATGTGATTTTTGTATCTTTTGAAATCAAGAACATTAATGATTCCTTTTTTTTTCTTCCTGCTGGCCTTTTCCTCTGTAATTTAATTTACTTTTATGGGTGTTCAGGGCTCGTGGCAACTCTGAAAAGGGACATGTGGTGCAGGTTGAAATGCATTAGCTACAGATGATTAACGATACATAGTAATTACAGTTTTAACTAGTGCTATTATTAATAAATTTTATGTATAAGATTAAAAACCTATGGTAATGTTGCACGGGCAGCAAGAAAAAATTTATGAATGCCTTCTTTAGATAGGTGCTTTTGATATGATTACCAATATGCTTGATAGAATTGGACGACTTTATGTATAATTGATATTAGTACGGGAACAATTAAGCGGTTATGATTGTCTTATAAGTTAGACAAAATTTTGCTTGTACGAGTAGATAATGTTAACTCTTACAATGGTGTTTTGAATAAAGGATTGATTATAAGTAAAATGTTTGTACCAAAAACATGATATTATTTGGTTTTTTTGTGGTCTGTGTACTGTCTTTCTTTTTTCTTTCTCTCTCTCTCTCTCTCTCTCTCTCTCTCTCTCTCTCTCTCTCTTTCTCTCTCTATCTATCTATCTATTTCTATCTATCTCTCCCTTTCTCTGCTTCTTCTAACTCTCTCTCCCTCCATCACTTCTTCTCTTTCTTTACCTAATATCTTTTTGTTACCTATTTGTTACCTTTAATCTATATGTATTATCTGCCTGACTTCTATCTATTTAACTATCTATCTATAAATCTATCGGCTTATCAACCTAGCTATCTGCTTATTTCGTGCTCGCTCCTCTGTCTTTCTCTCTCTCGTTATCTTTCTCTCACTTCCTAACGCTGAAATATTCTCTGCGTGTGTTTGTTTGCTTAAAAAAATAACACAGGTATATTTTCTTAAATTAACTTTAATCAACCTAAAACTTCCATTTGATTTCCGTCAGATTAATGTCGTTGTAACGCTTCACAGAGATTCTACATTCCACTCCATCTTTTGTCGTGAAAATATTCAGGAATATGACGAAATACCTGAACGTATCTGAACAAAACATAATGCGAAAAGAGGAGGCCGAAAAACTAAGTAGTGGATAGCGAATATTTCGTAAATTTCTTTTCTAAAACCAAAGAGGCGATATTAATATTTTATCAAAGCTTACCTTGTAAGAATTACAGCATTTGAAAACTCAACAGAAACCATACCATTTCAAAAATATTAACAATGATTTCTAAAATAATTGATCAAAACTGAATGTTTCTCCATTAAAAAAGTGATAAATATACCATTAGAACTTACGTCAATTTTGTTAAAGAATCTATAACGAGAGAGAGAGAGAGATAGAGAGAGAGAGAGAGAGAGAGAGAGAGAGAGAGAGAGAGAGAGTGAGAGAGAGAGTGAGTGTGTGTGTGTGAGAGGGAAATTATATTTTTCATAAGATGGTTTATTAATCTTTTTTATTGATAATGTTTGTCAATTTAAATTATTGTCCTTATGGAAACGTGGGTAATAATAAACTGGGATCAGTAGACAAGTTAAATTTACTATGGTGTTAACTTTGAAATTATATTTTTTAAATTATTTATTTTACTCTTCTTTTTCGGTTGTTGACTTTTTGTATTTCTTGGGTTTCTTTTCAGGAACTAGACGAACATCAAACTTATTTCCTGTCTATTCATATCGATTTCAGGCTCATCAGCCTCCTCTCATCAGTTTCGTTTTCTTTTTAGAAATGTGTTTCCCGAAATCGATATCAATAAAAGAAAATGAGATTGAATGCTGTCTAGTTTCTGAAAAGAAACTACAGAAATAATAAAATTTCTTACGTAAAAAATCCGTATTTTATAGGACTGGAAAAGCAGCAACAAATTGTGAGGAATGACAATAAGCAGTATTTAAAGTAGTATTTAAATGTTTATGGACAATTTTCGAATGTTGGTTCTATTTTAATTCAAAATATGATTATGAAACTTTTAATAAAAACTATTTAACATTATTGTTTTATAACACTAATTATATTATAAATAAAGTATATATACTTATATATTATTTATCAACAACTGTATATTTAATTATTGAACACAACCAACAGATTGGATTTTTTAAAAATAAATTTGGAAATATTGTCGATATAGAAGAAAATACCATTTCAAACTTAACATATATATAAAATCTCAAATTTAAAATTATGTAGTAATAAGTCGATAACATTAATTGTTTAGAAGTTGTGGGCAATGATAAATTATAAATTATTAACAAAATCAATCTCATTTTTTAATTATTTTTCTAGCCATTTGACAACCTTGATAAAAAGTCAAAAATATTCTAATGCATGTTTTAGCCGAAATGTATTTTTGAAAATATTTATTTAAACTTTTTTTGAAAAGTCCATAATATATTTCTTGGGGTTACGATTTGTTCAAGTTCATAGAACAACAATCGAAGTACAAAAAAACATGAATGATAAGTTAGAAGTGTAAAAAATACGTAATTCTTACCATTAAATATCAAAATTTTAAAAGAAACCGAATTGACTATGAGGAAAAAAATATACAAACGAAAGTGACCAGTAAAAAAAGAACACAACCGAAAGGAAAGAGTGTTAGGTTAAGACGGAAAGGTGAAAAGTCTAGATCAAGTGAAAGGTGCTGTAGTTGTGTTGTTATTGAAGTTTATTTCAAATGAAATATCTGTAGATTACAAGTATCAATTTAAAAAGATTATTTTATAAAGATGAAGAATACGAATCTCGATTAGGGAAGTAAGGTGTAAAAAAATAGTATATTGTTAATGATTGTATTGATGTCAGTGCGGAGTGGAGGGAGCGGTTGGAGGGGGTAGGTAGGTCAAGTCCAAGGGTAAGATATAAGGAGGCTGAAAGCATTGAGCGGGTCATCAGAAGCGAGAAGTTCTCCCGTGGAGCATCATGTTCAGATCAAGATACGTGGCTTTAGTGGCTTTAGCCCTGCTGGCGGTGGCAGCGGCTTTACCCCTCGAAGAGGATCCGGAAAATACAGTGACTGGTAAGGACGAAACTGGACTTATGGATAAGTTGAATTCGCGCTGCTCTAAAAGAGAGGCGTCCGCCTGCCTCATGCTCAAGTTGGTTGCGTACGTCAACCGCCTCCTCAAAAAGGCCGACATCCCGGTCGCCGACGGCCTCGAGATAAGTCGGACTTCCGAGGAGACGACCGACGACGGATTGAGCGACGCACGGGGAGCCAAGACCGACGAGGAAGCCGTCGGCAACTTGATCGCCGGAAAAATGTGGACTTTCGTCAAGTCGCGGTCCCTACGCTGGGAGATCGTCCCCGGGTCTGAAGTCGTTCTCAGCACATCTCCGGACTCAGAGGGACAACTCAGCATCGACCTTTCTTTAAGGGAAGCACCTAAGGAAACCGGTAAGCCTGCTTTTCCGTGGCTCCTAACAACACTGTAAATAAACCACAGTAACCAAATCTAATTGTAAAATTTGAAGAAAAAAAGGAAGTTTAAATTTGTTTGCCCCACGGAAATCGCACGCTGCCGTTTTCTTTATGTTTTTCTCATCCAATTGTGTTTCAAATTTTAAAAAAACGCGGTATTACGTACTGTAACAGTGACGTGTTTTTACATAGACAGATAAATTCTTTCAGGCTGTCTTTATAATTTTTTTTAATGTTCTTTCGCTTGATTAAAATTATTTAAAGTTCATTCAATTTATCGCTAAGTTATAACCAGGGGCGAATCTCATAATTCTTTAAGAAATTTATATTTGGGATTGTAAGGCCCTAGAAGGGCGGATAAGTCTAAACATTGTTGTTTCTTTTTCGCAGGTAGGGGTAAAAAAAACAACTTCGGACCGCTGCTCGCCGCGGGCGCGATGAAGATCGGTATGGTAGGAGTTCTCGCATTCAAAGCTTTGGCCCTCCTGGTCGGAAAAGCTCTCCTCGTTTCCAAATTGGCCTTCCTCCTCGCCGCGGTCATCGGCCTCAAGAAACTTTTCTCTCACCAGAAACACGTCACGTACGAAGTCGTGGCCCATCCGCATCACTCCCACAGCCACACTTCTGAACACGGCCACGGAGGAGATTCTTACAGCTCCGGCTGGGGGAGGTCCATCGACGTCGCTCCTGCGAAAGCTGCCGGCTCAGAAGCCGACGCTCAGAAGCTCGCCTACAAAGCCCACGCACAATAAGTAAGTTTTCGTTTTGCTGTGAACGTATAAGTAAAAAGGAAAATACCCCACTGGATACTACTATGCACTGTTTTGTTTCAGATTTGCCGAAGAGTCTGCGAAGACTTCCTGCTCAATCACAAAAATTATTTATTTATTTATGAAATCAAGTCTTTAATTTATTTAAATTATTTGTTAAACTTTAAAAGAAATGTAAATTTCGACTCGACTATAAGTTAGCTGCGAGGTAGCCTCGTGTGAATGGCTAGTGAACGACTCGACCAACGACTCTGGAAAGACCTCGACGGCAGACGACCAATAAAAGCGAAAAACCAAAGAAGACGAAACTAAGACGAGACGGACGACGGATCGGACAAAAAGACCAACTAACTACGGACAGAAGGGACGTTACAGATTTAGGAGTAATTACACCAGACGAAGGAGCGTCTTAAGATATCTCAGACCAAAGAAATATAAACATACTTAATGAACTCGACACGACTCTAAATACGACGTTGACTTAACAGAAACAGACACGAAATAACTAACACGGAAACACGCCAGTAACCCGTCGCAAACAGGAACACAGACAGCAAACGTTTGTAAATAATTTCCACTGTTTTTGTAAATACCCGTATTTATGAAATAAAAAGTCTTTTAACAGTTGTTAATCGATATTTCATTTAAGAAAAAACCTCATCCTTCATACTTAAAATGCGACGTCTTTTAAAAGTATGTGTGCCAAACTGGTAATTACAGGGGTTGAAAGTTTCGCCCTATATTTTAAAGATGACCCAGTTAAAAACATGTTCTTCTGGATTAAGGAGTGGTTCATTAAAAAAAGCAGGCTAAATGTTCTATCTTTCCTTTTTTTAAGTATGTCTATCGGAAGAATATCAACTTGGTTTAATGTTCTATCCCACTCTCCTGAATTCCAGATGGGAATTTAGCAAAACAGGATATCCGCCAGACAAATGGTTTTTCATTGCGTTTCATAACAAAATTTGGTTTTAACAAAAATAAGTTTATCCGTATGAAAAACTACTCTACTTTTTTTATATTGGTGGGGGGTATCGTGAAAAAAACGCCAGAGGAGATAGTGGGGATCGAACCCACGATCGCGTATGAGCCAAGAGTCTCTCACGCTAATCACACGGCTACCGCTGTCCTCTACTCTACTTAAATAGTTATTAAATTCGCTTTTTTAAATAAAAAGTACCCTTTCTTCATAAAAATAAAACAAAAAAATGTTAAATTTTATCATCTAACAGACTAAATACTTAATCATAGAATGTAGGACGATTATCCGTATTTTTCCTATATCAGTAATATTCTAAATAACATCTAATATTGTAAATATGAATTATAGATGATTTGAAAATATATGATTTCGCAAATAGCTGTAATAGTCTCCCAACGAGCTTTTCAAAGACATTTTTTTCAATAATTACAAAAACTTTTGTCCTTTTCTCCAAAAGTTTTAATTAATCGTTTTAGTCTAACTAACGTAAAATTTAATAGTTAATTAACAAGTTGGAATGATCATTGCTAGTCGCTCTTACCTACGGAACGTTAATGTAAATGTGCATTTACATTTAAAAACACCATTAAAATGTATAAAATATATTAATATTTAAATTTTCTAAAATGTATAACATTCAATTTTTTACAAGAAACAATTAAAAATTGTTTGCAATGCTTTGAAATAAACAAGAAAATACGATTATTTTAATGCATATCACAAAATAGGTTATTAAAAATTTATATGTTTCAACAAGATATTTAATTTTACAATGGTAAACAATTATTATCAATAAATCAAGTAACACGTCAACTCTGTAAACCGACTAATGTAGTCTGTAAGATGTATGTAAGTAGTTGTAACACTATGATCTTACATAAAAATGTCCAATTTATAAATAACCTCAATTGTCAATTTAATTGAATCATCGTATTGTAGTCCCAATCGTCTGAAGGTTTACAGATAATTGTGAGAAAGGTGAAAAATTAATCTTATCAAGTTGATAAAAACCTCGGTAATTTTAATTCTATTAACACTTAATTATTTACGCATTAAAAACAACAGTCTATGATCGCAGAAGTTTCTGGGGTTGGACAAAGATTAAACTATTTTTCCAACATCTTTTATGCTAATTCCATCCATTCGATTACTAAAAATTACATTTAATAGATTTAAAAAAAAAGTTTAGCCTTTGTTTTGATTCCAGACTTTTAGAAAAGATGACGGATCTAGATAAAATATTAAAAACAATTCATTTTGTTATTACCAGCCATAAATCTAACAATATAATTTAATCATAAAGCATCATCAAACATAAAAGTACGAAAAAATCAATAAACGTTAAATAATAATAAATGAGTGCTTCATTGTATAATTATTTTAAATAATATATTTTCGGCATATATGAAAAATACACAGGGGCTCAAATATATTTAATTTATTTAATTATATTATATGACTTATTTTAACAATTTTTATTTTATATTTCTTTTCTAATTGGTTCCTCATAATTATATTTTTTCAATCTTCATAAGCAAACATTATCAACAACAAAAACAAACAATGTTTTTTTTTTTCAAAGAATGATGCTTTATGTAATTATGTAGTACGATGGTACAAAGTGAAGTGTGTTGTGAAAAAATACAATATTTAAAGATCGTGAGATGCGGTCTGGTGTGACGTAGGTTTTAGAAAAACATTTTCTTTATCATGCCAACGTTTCGATCTTTATTGAGATAATATAAAGATCGAAACGTTGGCACGATAAAAAAAAAAAATGTTTTCTAAAACGTACGTCACACCAGAACGCATCTCACGATCTCCGAATAATCATTGACTAGCGGTCAATAAAGAACACACAACATATTTAAATTATCTTTAAGTTTTTTATTAATATTCATAAAATTAAAGTAAGAGCACATAATTGAAGAGTATCATTCCCTGAATCCCTGCCTATAGGAAGTAGGTATGCCACCAGATATAATTATTCTTAAGCAAGGCATCGTGTATTTGAGTCCCCGGTTCCGATTTTTGGAGGAAACAGGAGAGTCTTGTGCTACTTTTTTTGCTTATATTCAGAGTGAAAGTAGTTATTAATGTGAATGTGTAGTGTGGGATGGCCGATGCCTAGATAGTGAATATCACTTTAACCTCAATTTGATTAGTTATACAATATGGAGGGTAATGGAGGTTATCTTATTTGTGTAAATAGTTTGTAAATAGAAAATAACGTATTTATAAGTGAGTGGGTTTAGACATGAGAAAAAGCACGCGTTGGGATCTTTGAGAGTGGGATAAAAAGTTCCAATGAAGATTTGAAGATGTAAACCTGTAATCGATATATCGCCAAATTAGACATTAAAAATTTGGATAAAACGAAATTTTAAACTTAATTCCAAAGCTATAAATTAGTTTACATAAATATCTTGACATACATAAAACTAAAAACAAAACATTAACCATTAAAATGACTTTTTTGACATACGAAAAAAAGTCATTTTAATGGTTAATGTTTTGTTTTTAGTTTTATGTACTATACTTTATCAGGAAAACGAACAAACTTTTGTTTATTTTTGTACATGATAATAAAATATTACACGTACATATTTTTATTAATTATAAATATTCAGATATCGTGAGATGGGGTCTGGTGTGATGTAGGTCTCAGAAAAACATTTTCTCTATCGTGTCAACGTTTCGATCTTTATTGAGATCATCTTGAGGGCCTGGGATTTACAAACATTGTTTAAATTTAAAAAATACATGTAGGATATGGAAAAAAGTGAATTTATACAATGCAAAAAATATATTTTTTATAATCAATCAATGTATTTCTATCCCAGGCCCTGAAGATGTCAATAAAGATCGAAACGTTGGGACGATAAAGAAAATGTTTTCTGAAACCTACATCACACCAGATCGGATCTCACGATATCTGAATAATTATCGACTAACGGTCACTAATCACCACACATTAATTATAAAAATTTTTAAAAAATGTGAATATATTTTTTGTACATATATGCCAGTATTCCTATCAAAATATATAATTATCTTTGACAGTACTATTCCATCCAAATTTTATGAAACTGTTAAAGGGACATTACGCGAAAAATATTTAAACACTAGGTATCGTGACTGCGGATGAGAAAGCTCCTTGGCCCTTAGGATAATTGCCTGATTATTTTGGTCACGACGGCTTCAAAGATTGTTTTTGTTTTTTTGTTGGTAAATAGTTGGAAATGTAAAACCTACGACGACTGCTTATTCAAAAAAACAAACTTGTTATAAACCTTAATTGCCTGACATCATTCGGTTAGACTAACCCGCACCACTGGAACGTATTAATAGTTTTGAGGACAACATGAAAACTTTCTTAACTTAATTTTAATATGTGAATTGTGTCTAGAAATTTATTTTATTGTTATCAATCTATTCTTTTACCAACTCCCGTGTTCATAATGTTAATACTGTGCTAATATTTACAAGACGACCGTTGACAATTCACTTTGTAAAAAGAGAAAGGATAATTAAAACAATATAATTTCTGTACTGATCTTTTGATCATTAAATACAAGCAATTGGGCTTTGATCATTAAATACGTGAAATCATAGAGAAGTCATCATTTAAAAATAAAATTCAATTTTTTATACTGTATCAAAATATACACTCATTATTTTAAAAAAAACTTTTCTTTGTTTAATTTCACAAACTAGTTTATATTGAATTTTTTCAAAGATGACGCAAACATATACAAACCTATAAATTCAATGTTACATTGCTATAAGTCTGATCTAAATATTGAAATTATATACCTACCTGAATTTATCTATATGTAAAGCTTAGTTAGCTTTAGTAGAAAAAATGTGATATCAAGTTTTTATATTTATTAAATAATATCCGCATAAAACGTGAACGTGGGATACAAGACTAAGAAGTGTATTTTCATAAGAAATTAATATTTTGGGAAAATATTTCAACCATTACAATCAAAAATTTAAAAATATTAGGATTTAGTGATAATAATGAGAAAGTGTTTCCAGTTAAATAACTGGTCTTGAAAGTTTTGTTCTGCAACGTTCGTAATGTAAAAATGAAATAGACCAAAAAAATTAAGATTCGCTTCTTACAAGGGAGGTTTTACTGGCAACCAGTAGGATGCCAAATTGGAAAATTAAATTTTATAAGTTTCGACCAAAGAATAGTTTATATAGATTTGACTTTCAATGATAAACATTTCAATAAAAAGATTAAATATTAAGATTTATTGTTTTCTTTAAGGTTTAATGTGCCAGCATGTTTTACATGATAAAGTATTTCGCCGGATAAAGTATAAAAATATTTCGTATCAACACTGAGGCAAATAGTGTAGAACTAGATTGGATGTGTGTCTTCTCCTGTAAAAATTTATATACAGTTGATAAATAGAGCGTAAGGAATTGTATAATAAAATTTGTTTAATGACCTTACATTTTATACATACTTTGTTGTATATTACACATATAATTAATAATAAAGTGTTTATTGAGTAATTGCCCGCAGAGAAATACAGGAGCAAATAAAAATATACAAATAAAAAAGAAAAAAGAAAGAGCCTGCGCCTTAATACCTAATACAGAAATGCGTAGCGGGTTAGTATTGAATTGCCAAACACGGCGAGTAAAATGTTTTTCATCATTCCTTTATTTATGAAATTCCTCTTGTATTTATTGTGAATAATTTATATTAATGTAATTATATTCCTAATTGTTTAAATTTTTTATCTTTTACTTGTATCATATATTTAAAACTTATTTAAAGGCTATTTTCTATATGAATTATTCTCCATTTTTCAACTCTCTACATAGATTAAATCGCTGATTTTCGATGAATAATTCATTTACATTGATCGTATTGATCTATAAAAGGTAATTAATGTATTTAATAATTGTGTTCTTTCCAGTTTTATTTTACCAATAATGATCAACGTCATCAGCATCAACTTGCTAACTATTTAGTACTTGATGTAAAAAGTTATAGGCCAATTACACGAACACCAATATTTCTAAAATTTTTGAAATACTCTATCAAATTAGATTGATTCATTTTGTAAATAGTTTTCCATTTCATTTAAAACACAGTATGGATAAAGGAAGGGTTTAGAGTAAATAGTTTTAATGAATAATATGATAAACGTATAACAACTATGAAAATAATGTTAAAAGTAGTATGGTATTGTTGATAACAATATTCTGCTTGATAAGCTGTATCACTAGGGTGTTCAAAGTTCCTCAATAGTCTTTTGTTCAAACTTTACTTAGTTAATTTACTTTAGTTGATAAAGGCAAATTATGGCTGTAAATAATACCTCATCCTTCCAGAGAGACCGTATCTCAACACTTTGTGGATGAAGGTGCCAAAGGGTGGTACATTATGCCCGCGGCGGAGAGGGGCAACCAAAAAGTTGACCCTTGCGTTTGAGGACATTTCTTTTTCTCAATCCAGGTCCCACGTCATATTTCCTTAAGATCTTTTTTAACGGTTGGGTGCAAGGAGAGTTTCCAGGGAAAGCAATGGTGTAGCATTGAGAGCGTGGTGAACTTTCTTAAGCACGAGCTGTATTCGTGTGTTGGATATAAGTCAGCAGTGGATGGCGGGTGCTCGATCAGTAGCACAAATGGGTTACATCCTGTCTGCAGGTTGGGTGCGTAACCAACTACGGGGTAGCTCAAAGTTCCAAGTTCCAAGACCGGTAGCGCGCTAAATGGGAATGTAATCGTAGTGGTTTAGTGGCGAGCCCCCTGGCGGGTACTTAGAATATAGCCTGTTGTTCGGTGGTGCATTTATCGGCTTCCTTTGCTGAAGGCAGTGTTCGTCTAGGGGGTGGTTAGAAATTCCACTATAAACAAAACCGCGACCGTAGCGGATGCGGCAGGTCCTACGCTGATGGAGCCCCAATACTCTGGGAGATTGAGTTACCTCTGGATAGTACAGCAGGTTAGACAAATGATGCATTTCAATACCGAGAGAGCGGCTTTCCAATAGATATGCGGCACACCGTCTGGTGCATAGATGTCGGCCCACCCCATCGGAATGGGCAAGCGAGCGAAGTCATCTTAGTTAGTGTAGATGACTTCTATACCAAACCTCAACACAGGATTAACACTAACCGCTTGAGAGCGGAGGTGGTCGCTCCTATCTTGAGAAGATAATTCTATAATAAGGCCATGTGTCAGATGCGCACTCTCCTTCTGAGGACATTGCGACCAAAATGGAAATCAAATGTAAATAATATCTCATCTAGTCATAGTACAGTTAAGTGTATGGGGTGGCTCGTGGCTGCATTTTGGGCCCCATATATTTCAATAACTTAAATGTACATATAATAGTTTAACTATGAATATTTTGATTTTCCAGCGTGTTGATTAAACCAACTTTTTACGAAACTATGATACTGATGCTTTGAGGTTGTTACTAAATGAAATTTATGACCATTTCCGTGCAAACTTTTGTGAGATGAATACGAGGAAAAATCAGTGTATTTGTAATACGTATCTGAAATTGTCAAGGTTCAGAAATTTTATGTAATTTTTGTTTAAAAGTGTTTTTTGTCGAAATAACACGTTTTGAGAACACAGTTTTGTCGAGAGTTTTTAAAAAATGAATGTAAATAATTATTTTTCATATTTAATCTTTAAAAGATTTATTTTTAAAACTTTAACAACAAGGAAAGGTGGAGTTTACATAGCAAAAATTTGATTTAAAATTTTTCAGGAATTTCATCTGTTAAATAATAAAATTCTTATGAATTTGTGAGATGTATTCGTTAGATATCCATTTTTGTCATTGAACGTTTTTTTTCGTAAGGATTCTTGCTGGATATGGGATGAATAATGGCGTATCTGCAGATACTTTTCTAATAGTTAAATCCTTCTACTACAATGCTGTCATTGGCTTAGCAGTCACCACTTCTGGCAATATTTTAGAACGCTTATCATTAGCCAAGAAAACACTGCCAGAGTTTTCTGTTTATTATTAAAAATTGCTCTTAAGGGAATTTAGTGTAGAAAAATTGCTTTTAAAGTTCTTCCGTGAAGAAACTTTTCCTGTATTAGGGAAGTATAATAAAAAAACTTGATAAAATAAATTATTTTTATTTACTTAATTTAACATTGGCATAATAAAAAAATTATTATAAATAAATAAATACATTTTCTATACTATCATTCATCATAAATATTGTTTGTAAACTACGATTTTGTACAATAATGAGGAGAATAATAAACAATTTGGTTTGTACTAGCTAGTATGCCCGTCCGGAAAATGTAGAATTTTTACAGAAATAAAAATCACGGCGACAAATCGGCATTAAATTAATATTAAAAAACAATTGTTGCCGTTTGTTTTCTACCATAGGTAGATCCTGGTTGTCCTAATTGAGGTAGTCCATTATATTTAGAATTTTTTTATTTCTTGTCGATCTGTTTCACTGTTGTTCTGTATACTGTCGTTCTGTACTTGGGCCTAGAGGATTTTCTCTCAGCGGCTGAAACAAAGTAAGAACATGATTTCATACCGGTATAAGAGAATAAAATATTTGGAAATATTTCTTACTCGGTATGTAATTGTAAGCCGTGTGGTTGTCCGTAATCGATGCAACTAGAGGTTGAGAGTAATGGCCGTTCAGATCCGTGGCAACGTCTGAAGTTCCTGCCTGCACGTCGTACATCCCATCCCAGGCAAATTGCTAAATGAAGTCGATTAAAGAAAGTCATTAAAAAGAATTAAAAAAAGGCAACTTGAAATATATCCAAACCTGAGCCATGACGTGAGCTTGTGGATAGTAGTAAGGGGTCGCCTCAACGTGTTCCTGTTTGTGCTTCATTTTGTCGTAAATGTACTTTCCGGCCAGGATGAGCGAGGTGACTACGGCAAAACCGCTCAGAACTACGGACTTGATTACGAGGACTTTAAGTGCTCCCAGGGCAGCGATGATGGCGCCAGCGATTTTGAAACCGACTATTAAAGGGATGGCGAGCTGCATCGTTTTCTTCCCTCTCCCTATCAAACAGAAAATAATAATATTAAATTGAGTTTTGTATTGTAAATCGTGACAATAAAATTGAGATGAAAAGATGTGTCAACGGAGGGACTCCGATCAGAAACGGGACAGTACTTGGAAAAAATTATAAACAGAAAGATACAAAGGAAGATAGATAGGTAAATAAATAGATAGAGAAAGAGGAAAGAGAAAGAGGGAGAGAGATAAATAAGAGATGGTGGGAGGGATGAGGAGGGGTAATGGTAAGGGGAGGGGGAGGGGTGGGGACGAGAGAGTGAGAGAGAGAGAGAGAGAGAGAGAGAGAGAGAGAGAGAGAGAACACAGATGGAGGGATGGATAGAGAATGAGATAAAGAAAAGAAATGAGAAAACACATGGATAGATTGACAAGCAGCAAGTGTGTGTGTGAGAGAGAGAGAGAGTGAGAGGGTGTGAGAGAGAGAGAAAAGAGAGAGATTATGTTGATGATGATGAACGCTTTACTTATCTAAGAGATAAGTCTCAAGGACCATTCTTACATCGACCGTGAACTACAAAGGTTCCTAAGCTTATTATACTTCCAATTCATTAAACATTAATTATTTCTATTATATATGTATATTTCTAATTATTTGTAATTTATTGTTTTCAATTTGTTATATCTTCGTTCTACATTGAACTACATATGTATTTATTTCAAATGGCCTATTGAAATAAATATTATAGTATACAGGAAAATTGAGCTATTAAAAAATAAATGACTAATTTAAAAAATGGACAAAAATACTTTTTCAATGCACTACAATACGAATAATTAATTGTAAATTGTCAATAAAAATCTAGAAATAAAAATTTGTAGTCACTAAATAGAAATATAAAAACAAGGAATTAAATTTAAAACAGTGAAGTTTTAGCATCAATCTTAGCTTAATCAGAGGTGATTTTTAAGATTATTCTGAAAATCTTACATATTTCTACATAGTTTTATGTGTAAATATACTAGAAAAAGTTATTGCACCTTTTACTGGGAATGACTATTAAAGGTCGTGGTTTTGTTCTGAACGACTCACAGACGGGAGTTTGAAAATCTTGTATATTTATCGTGAATCTGAGACATGTACTTAAATTTTACATATAGATTTTTGGTTTTTAAACTTTTAAAATTGAAAAAACTTTACACAATAGGTTGTAATCGATTAAATCTTTAATTTGGAGAAATTTATGTTGGTAAAACGTGTTATATACCTGCTGCCATATTCAGGCTGCGGATGTAAAAGATATACACGTTTCACCCGTCTTAAAATTTTGTGATTTGTGTTGTTTAGGTCAAACATTGAGAGGCAGAGAGAGAGAGAGAGAGAGAGAGAGAGAGAGAGAGAGAGAGTACGAGACAGACAGAGAGAAATTGTACGATGGAAAGAGAAAGAAAGGAAGCCTCAGAATAACTCGAAGACCAAATTTCATTTTGTGGCATAAACTGGTCACATTAAAATGAACTAGAATCTTTGGGTAAGTTATGAAAACAGCAAATTCTTCGAACATAAGTTGAATCTACATATAAAACTATTAATTAATTAAATGATTAAATTCATAACAATTTAAACGTATTGATAGTGTTTTATTTAATCCTTTTTAGAAAGATAGTTCCTACTCGCAATAAGTTGTTTTGCAACAACCGGATTTCGAGCCCTTTAGCTCATCATCAGGTTGAAGGACATCTACAACCACGTCTCTCGACATGAATTGCCAAAGTGAACCCGCTGATACCTCCGCCAACGCGACGTTCCAATTAGCAGCTGATTTTTTTAATGGCGCTCAATTTGAACGTGCGAAACGCAGAAATTATAACACAAATAAATATTATAATTGTAAATACTTAATATTATTAAACTACTATAAAAATAATAACAATTAAAATAATTAGTTTAATTATTTGGATGTTTGGTATTATTTATGTACATATTTAAAATGGGAAGTAGATCAAAATCTGTTATATTATTAATGCATTTATCACCATGTTCAATTTTACATGAAATTTAATTTCAAATTTCTCAAACCAATCTAATTCTTTCCCTTTGTTGAAACTATGTAACACTCTTGTATTTAGATTTGAATTGAAATTATGTTTTATTTCTTTTAGATGGTCCTTAAATTCCGAAAATTTGCTCGATTTAGCCAAGTGTTCTTTTACTCTCGTTTTTATTTCTCTATCGCTTTGTCCTATGTTTCTACATTTCCATTTCTAGGGTTTTATTTAAATTGATATGATTAATTTTTAATTTCAATTGAATCTTTTTTGCCTTCAACATAGCCTTAAAAGGAAGTTCTGCAAACAAACAGAAATCACAAGGAAGCCGACAGCTTACAAGGAAGCCTCGGAAATTCTGAAGTCATTTCAAATTTTAAATTAACCGCTTTTACTTCAAATTGACCAGTTTTAATTACATATTAGCTGCTTTTTAAAGTTCTCATTAAACCTATCAAAAACAAAACGTCCAAAACTTATGTAAGACAGGTTGCGCCCCTAAGTTTAAAGAGGTGGTATTAAATGTAAACACGTAAAGTCCAATTTCTGCATTTGAAAAAAATCAAACATAAAATAATTTGCCTCTTAATAGAACATTTTATTTATAAAACCCCAATTATTTTAATTTAAAAAAGTCAAATTAAAAGAAAAGTCATTTGCTTTTATACACCGATGGACAAATTTAACGAACCACGCAATTTATTTAGTTTAAAATTAAATCCGTTATCTTTCGACATTAGTTACAGGTAATTAGGGGCTATCGTAGTCAATATTAACAGTAAATAATACGTTGTTAAATTTTTTGTTTCCTTTTTTACTGATTAATCTCATTTGCACAAAGAGTAGCATTATGCGTTTCCATTCTGCTACGCCTAGTGATCGCTACCAGTTACTCTTTTTCCTTCTTTGACTTCCTTTGATATTATTCCTATTCTTAAAACTTTTTCAATGACTCCAGTCAGGCATTTGAGTTAGTATGGCAGGTCAGATCATAACATTATTAGAAGAAGGATACAGCCATCACGAATTTGCCAGGAGACCGAGAGTAATTCACTCTACATTCGAAAATGGTACTTTTTACAATAAAAGGATAGTTCCTACTCACAGTAAGTTGTTTTGCAACGATCCGGATTTCGAGCCTTTTAGCTCATCATCAGGTTGAAGGACTTCTACAACCACGGCTCTCGACATGAATTGCCAAAGTGAATCGCTGATACCTCCGCCAACGCAACGTTCCAATTATCAGCTGATTTTTTTGATGACGCTCAATTTGAACGTGCGAAACGCGGAAATTATAACACAAATAAATATTAGAATAATAAATACTTAATATTACTATAAATTACTATAAAAATAATAACAATTA